ATGATTTTCGGAAATTAAAAAAAACTTTTTTTGTAAATTTAAAAATTAAAAGAAACAATTTTGGAACGTACTTGGTCGAAATACGTTTCTTGATCCAAGACAATTTATTTAAGTCAAGAAAATTTTTCTTGTTTTGAGAAAATTTCTCTCTTGCTCCAAAAAATTAAGTTCTTGACAGAAGTAAATTTTCTTGTTTTGAGAAAATTTTTCTCTTGCTCCAAAAAATTAAATATCTTGATAGTAAATTTTCATTAATATTTCTATTGACTAACATGTCTAATGGAAAGATCAAATAATATTGAATCATTTTTTTTCATTCAATATGTATAATTGCGCGTTAAAATGATCTAAAATGGGTATCAAATATTCAAGAGAAAAATTTTCTCAAGATGAGATAATTTTTTTCTCAGCTGAAGTAGGTGGCGCTGCTTCCCTAAAGTATCTAAAAATCTTGATCAAATATAAAAATTTATTGTATCAAGTATTTATGATAATTTGAATTAAGAAAAAATTACTTCCACCAAGAATAGAATTTAAAGAAAAATTTTTACTTCGGCCAACACAACTTCGGTCTTCCTTCGGGCGACCGAAAATTTACTTGAGCCAAGAATTTTGTTCTCCAGTCAAGAAATATTTTTCTCTGTGTGTACTTTCAGTTTGTCTGTCAATTCTGAATGATCTTGAGATACTTAAATTCAAGTATCATTGCGGCAAATCTTTCATAATTCGACGAAGTCGTTAGGTCATACATAGAAATCAATCAATCTAGGACTATTAAATAACTTAAAAAAAATAATGATATTGTCATCTAGACAGAATTAAATTTTTTAAATCATAAATTAGGAATTATTCTTGAAATATCGAAGAGAACATTAATTAAAAATTCAAGTTGTTAAATTTTGAACCTTACTGCAGTCTTAACTTTGACTTTGAGTAACGATTGAAGGAATTAATTTAAAAAAAAAAAAGAACTCAGACTTTTTTTATACAGGTATCACATTTTTGCAAGGACGTGCTTTAGTCATTCCAGCTGTTAAATCCGTTAATAAGTTAAAAAATCCCGATATTAAAAAGTAATTTTTTCTGTTACATTTAAATTGAAAATAAAGAATCGCAACTAGGCATCTTTCAATAAGCATTTCTCCTTTTTGAAATTGATTAGTTACCTTTTTTTTACTCTTCAATATAATATGTTGAATAATTCACAACTTTAATGAATCAGATCTACGAATGTATGAATTTAAAGATATCTAATATTGTATGATTATACACTTCTTTATAGACAAGTATCTTTGTTGCTTACAAAATATGATTATTTAATTGCTGAGGAATTTCAATTGAGTGTATTTTAGATTTTATTTAACCCACAGAGACTTTCTAAATTATGTCTACTTTTCCAGAGACAAAATGTTCTTAGCATTTATGTTCCAGCTATTGATTGTCAAAATCTATTGTTTATTAATTATAATCATTTAAAAATGCTGAACTACCCTTAGAGGAAAGAACAATCGGCTCGAGCTTGGCCAAGGCTCGGCGCAATGCTCATTAACTCTAGGGCAAGCTTGAAATCCAAGCTTGGCTCAAGTCCGTCTAAGCATACAAATGATAACTTCCTGCCAAGACTGAATGTCAGTACTGTGCCAAGACTGAAAATAAGTATTGCGCCAAGACTGAAAATAAGTATTGTGCCAAGATTGAAAATAAGTATTGTGCCAAGACTGAATTTTAGTATTGGGTCAATACCGATTTTCGAGTCTGACCCATGCCTGGTTACCAGGACTGGGCCACAGTTACTATTCAAGTCTGGCCCATGCCATTAGATAAAAAGTGATAAAACAAAATTTTTTATTTGTAATTTTTTTTTATCTTAATTTCCATGTAAGGCTAACGCAAGTTTAGTCCCTTTGACTCCTTATTTAGACCTAACTTTTATTAATTATGAAAATAAAGTGAAAATTGCATTTGCCCTAACCGAGATCCGAACCCGTGCCGCGCGCTTACGAGACCGATAACTAACCCCTACGTCGTACGACCGATAAGTTGTTCTACATCTCATCATTCATATAAGCTAACTCTATATGCTGACAGTGTGACGGTTTATTATTTTCACAATTTATGTTATTTAATATTGTGTTTTGATGAAAATAAACGATTTTTCACAAATGTTTATTAATTTAAAAAAATACAAAAGTCAAGTCTTTATATTACTTTAGTATTTTTACATCGTTCTATATACTTTTAATATTTTGTTATAAATTTTAATGTTTAAAATTATCAATACTAAAAACTCCATTGTAAATTATTATATTTTAATTTTTTTGAGACCATATCAATCTTGACGATATGTAATTGTTTTTGTTAAATAATAAATTTTCAATTTAAGCATTTGCTAACTGTACGATAGTTTGCTACTGAAAATGATAAAAGATACTGGGACTTAGATAATCTCGGTTGTTCAAATTATTTAACACTTGCGTTGTTAACAATCAAGTTTATTAATAACCATGTAGATCACTAAATTAAATCTCACATAAATATTTATCAGAGTTCAATATATTTATTATTTGTATAAGGCTAGACTCACTATTAATTAATAAAAAGGGCGATAGATAATTAATTACAGCTTGGTTAAGCACATGCAAGCCATGCGGTCGAGAAGCCAAGACTTCAAAGCAGCTATAAACAAGCCAAAAGGCACAGAATAATGAAACTGATTACTGCAGAATAATTATGAATAATTGCTGAAACAGATTAAGTTAATATTAAACAGATTTAGATCACGATTAATTAACGAAAATTAGATTAGATTCGATAGATAAAAGTATGCGATAGATAGGTTATACAGTGTATAAGAATAAGAGCGAATAATAATGCGCGCCAAATGTTGGCCAGAGGGCACCTGTCGCTCTGCTGGAGCGCCTGACCTGCCTCCAAGTGGCGTGGCGAAGAAACCTCAAGCGGTTTAGTTGGTAATATCGGCTGGGAGGAAGCGAGGGAGATTTTAACACTAACAAATATTCATTAACCAATAAATATCTACATTAGATTTAGATTTAGATTTTGTTTATTTAATGCCCAGGCACAGGCCAAATGGCAATTTCAATTACATACTAAAGACAGTTTTTACAAGAAAGCAATTTCTGTGAGTACATAATATAATATAATATTGCACAATAATTAATTTAATTTATTTATATGTAAACAAGGTAAAAAAGAAAATCATATTAAACTTGAAACTTAATATATGAAAATAATAATTTTAAAATATAGAATTTTAATGTCATCAGATTCGATGATAACTCAGCATAATAATTTTGCGAATTGCAATTACTTCATCCTTATTTTAATCTTTAATTTTCAATGAATTAATTTAAATTTGTTATTTATTAGAATTTGTTTTAATTATCAAGATTTAATAAGTAATTAAATACTTTCTTTTTTGAAGACTTGTAAGCTACTCGAATTTACAATTTCGCGTGGGAGTTCTTCCCAAAGCTTTATTACAGTTACCAAAAAAGATTTCTCTAAGTAGCTTGTTGTAAAAAGAGGTAGTTTGAAGGAGGTGTGCTCATGAAACCTTGTTAATTAAATATTGGTTAACTCTTGAATCAAGACTGGCAAACCAAGGCTCGTTACATAGACATTGGCTTGGTCTTGGTCCAAGAGTAATAAACCAAGACTTGTCACTTGAATATTGGCTGGGTCGTGGTTCAAGACTGGCAAACCAAGGCTCGTTACATAGACATTGGCTTGGTCTTGGTCCAAGAGTAATAAACCAAGACTTGTCACTTGAATATTGGCTGGGTCGTGGTTCAAGACTGGCAAACCAAGGCTCGTTACATAGACATTGGCTGGGTCTTGGTCCAAGACTGGCAAACCAAGGCTTGTTAGTTGAATATTGGCTGGGTCTTGGTCCAAGACTGGCAAACCAAGGCTTGTCAGTTAAATATTGGCTGGGTCTTGGTTTAAAACTGGCAAACCAAGGCTTGTCAGTTGAATATTGGCTGGGTCTTGGTCCAAGACTGGCAAACCAAGGCTTGTCAGCGGTGCGCGGTCAATTGATCCGACGATAATTGATCCGTGATGCTAAATCAGCGTCATAATGTCAGTGACAAATTTGGGAATTAAGCGAATAAAGGATAAAGGGAAAGGGGGGACCTATTTTTTACTCAGTAGGAATTGTTTAGTGACCGAAAAAATATAATTCGGACAGCCCGGACCGGGAATCGAACCCGGATCGTTCGGTTACGCGCCAAAGGCTCTACCAGTTAAGCTATCCGAGACCTTGTCCGTAACTACTATTCAGTCACATATTAACACCTGACATGAGTAAACACCACCGTCCATCTTACGGCAATAACAAATATTAATTTGTAGTTAAATTTGTCGCATCGATAAGTCAGCGACCTAGTTATGGACCAACCGTCGTCGGACCAATTGACCGTGCACCCTTGTCAGCTGAGTAGTGGTCCAGTCGTGGGCCAGTATTGTTCGGCCGAGTCTGGGTAATCCAGTATTGTGCTAAGACAGGCCCCGTTGTATATAATTTTTTTCCTACAAGGGTACGCTGAAAATCAGTGAAATTTTTACGATAACTTACGAATGTGAGACAAATAAGGATGGATTGTAAAAAAATAGGTATGTTGATGAGAAGTTTATTTTACTTGTTATTTCAAGTTGAAAAATATGTTATAAAAAATAATGAATAAATACTTAATTTAAATTTCGTTATCAGTTTAAAATTTAACAGTCAATACATTTAATCAGTTTGATTCTAAAACATTAATTCTATCGCAATCTAGTCTTAAAATCCTGAAGAAAGAGTTAAGACTAAAGTTTTCACTTTATGAACTGGTTTAGTTTTATTCTTCTCAGGAAAAAATAATATTATTAATCAGTGTACATGTCTTTTTAAAGTATTGTCAGTGAAAGTTATTTTATCTTGCATAATATCGATGAAAACTTTTAGTAAATATACAATTAACAAATATCTTAATAAATCATTCTTCAACTTCGAGAGCTTTATCATCAAGCCAAGGTCGAAAGATTGGTAAAGTTGAAGGATAATGAGCTCCTCTTTTTGATGGAGCACTGGATATCAAACCTCCCTCTTGTCGAAGTGGGTAAGTCGCTAATACAATAGGTATTTGGAGCTTTATCTCTTTATCCAAACCTTTTGGGCTTATTACAAACTGAAACAATGTAGTAAATACATTTTTATTAAGTTAATTAATATTTATGAAAATTTTCATTTCCTCAACACACAAACTTGCACACTGTACATAGAAATGGCTTCTTCCTCAAAATTTATTTTGATAAATGAGAAAAACAATTTTTTAAACACCAATTTAAAATAAATATCTCACTTTTATATTAAATAATTTGCTAAAATTTTTTAGAAATATTTGTTTCATAGTTACTTATAGTTAAATATAAATTTTTTTCTACATCTAAAACATGCAGCTGCCTACGCGAAATTGTCTAAGATTATATTGATACTTACATAAACATGATAAAGTATATTAATTAAATGACATCCTCGAAGATTAGTTGGAGGTAAAGGCGGTACATACATCTGTTCATTCAACCATTCTTCACCTTCCCCTGGTCGAATTTTTCCTCGCGAAACACTAGCAAGCTCTCTCGTTTCGCTGGCTAAGATTTTGCCTCTACATAAATACTGAATTGTTTCTGTCAGGGATGCTTTGGTAGATTTCATTGTCACCTAAAAGTTTGAAAAATTAACATTTTGAAATACATTGAGTGTGATTCACAAAGTCACCTTTGTGGCCATGTCCCAGACAACATCCAAGTCAGAAGGATTTCTTAAAGATGTCTTTTCAAAGACTTCCTTGAGAACTCCAAATATGACGTCTTAAAGACCTCATTTTTCGGAACTCTTAATTAAGAAGTCTTTAAGAAGTTTTTTTTTAAGTTCTATAAGACATCACAGATATGAGCTCTTTGAGAAGTCTTTTTTCCGACTTCGTAAGAGGTCAAAAAAATGAGCTGTTTAAGAGGTATTTTTTTGGACTTTCCAAGACATCAGAAATATGAGCTCTTTAAAAGTTCTTTTTTTCTGACTTCGTAAGACATCAAGAATAAGAGCTCTTGAATAGGTTTTTTTTTTCTGATTTTGTACTTCGTCAAAATATGGGACTTAAAAAAATTTTTTTCACGTTATTAAAGAATTTTTAAAATGATAAAAAAATAAAAATAATCGCACTCGAGTGAACTCATTTCGCTGTGTATTTATTTTTGTATTATAAAAATATTATCGTAAATAGCAAAACGTTCAGTGATTCTACTTATCAAAAATTAAATCGATAATTATCGATAATTAAATCGAAAGGTATTTTTTTTTATTTTTGGGTAGAAAAGTTGATATCAAGTTTTTTATCGTTACTATAAGTCATTTATAATCTTATGTGAACATAAGAACTTATGTAGAGAAAAAAAATTTACTATATCTCATTAGGAGCAGCTAGCCAAAGCAGACCAGAGGACACCACATCACTGAAGTTAAGACGCATTGGTCATGATAAATACTTGGATGGGTGACCGCTAGTAAAATCGTATTCTAAGCTGCGAGCGATACCATTTTTTTTTTTTAATTTCGAAGAAAATATATTTTAATGTACTTGATTGTCTTCAATTTAAGCAGCTCTTTTTTAATATTAATTACAATACAATTAAAACTGAAAATGTCTCCTCCATAAACTATTTTTTTCTGGAGTCAGAAAGGGCTCTTAATTCTGACTTCTTGAAGAACTCTTTTTTTGAAGTCAGAAAAAAGAGCTCTTTAAGAACTCTCTCTATGAAGTCCTGATTCACTCTTTAGGTGGCGCATTGGACGTCCTCAAAACGTCTTGGAGACCTCATTTTGATCAAAATTCTGACGTCTAAATCTTAAATAAGAGTTCTCTGAGAACTGTAAAAGACGTCATATTGCTATCTGGGAAAGAACAAAACAAAAAACACGAGGGTAAATACTTTAAATCTTGTCCTGATATAAGACTTATAAATGATGCGGAATTGTTAAAAAATTAAAACAGAAAGAAAAGACAACAATCGACACAGAAATAAAAATTTCTTGACCAGAGAACAAAATTCTTGGCTCAAGAAAATTTTCGGGTGCCTAAAGGAAGATCGAAGTTGTGTAAAAATTTTTCTTTAAATTCTATATTCTTGGTGGAAGTAATTTTTTCTTAATTTAAATTATCATAAATACTTGATACAATAAATTTTTATATTTGATCAAGATTTTTGAATACTTTAGGGAAACAGCGCCATCGACTTCAGCTGAGAAAAAAATTTTTTCACCTTTTATATTATTTTAGCGTGCAATTATACGCATTGAATGAAAAAAATGATTCAATATTATTTGATCTTCCCATTTAACATATTAATCAATAAAAATATTAATGAAAATTTACTTCTATCAAGATATATAATTTTTTGGAGCAAGAGAAAAATTTTCTCAAGACAAGAAAATTTACTTCTATTAAAAACTAAATTTTTGGGAGCAAGAGGCTGAATTTTCTCCAAAACAACAAGATTTTCTTGACTTAAGTAAATTTTCTTGAATTAAGATACGTATTTCTTAAAACAAGAGAATTGATTTTGTTGAAATAAGTGAAAATTCTTGTGTCAAAAAAAAATTTTTTTTTTCGCTCAAGAAAATAATTAGGAAGAAAAATATTTTCTTGGCTCAAGTGAACTTTTTTTTCTGTGTAATTATAAAAAAGAATACAAAAATCTTGGATACCATACAGTATGGTGGTTTACAACCATACTCGCATAGCGATATCCGTAAAATATTTCTTACCGTTTTAGTACTACATGTATTGAGATAAATTTAATTTTTTTTAATTAATTTTTTAAGAAGTTTTTCATTAAAGTAATATGAAGATTCAGTGATTAGAAAAACAAAATTATTGAAAATATTTTTTTCTAAATATAGAGAATAAAAATTTTTTTTAAATTGGAAGTTGCTTGACCTTGACGTATAGGGAATAAATCACAAGGTCAACCCCTGCGCGTTACAAGGCGTGTAAAATTGCTTAACAAGTAATGCACAAACAACTTTAAACGCTTTACGATTAATCTTTGAAATGCTAGAATACAAATGCGATTTTAAGAAAAATATTTTTATATCATCTGTATTTAAAAAATATATATAATAAGCAATCACTTAGCAAATAATAAGTTGAAACTTTCTCACTCTTTTACAAGGTATTTAACCTTGATCAGACAGAAGAGGTCAGCCAAGAAGTATTAAGTATCAAGTATTAATGAATTATTTAACTGAGAATATTTAAATATTATAAAACATCTGAACCTATATATGACGATACACTGAGATTAGGTCATTCACTTGTGAATCTTGTTTATTTACCGATACAAGGCTTCATCTCCATAATTAATTCATGATTATCTTCGACTCTATTACACGGCAATCCCTTCCAAAGATTTCTGATATTAAGAGGTCAACTACCTATCAGATACTATATAAAGATCTTTAAATTCATATTATGGATTATTGCAGTTTGATATAAGTAAGAATGAACTTCATAAAAAACATCATCTTCATTTCTACAATTGCTGTTGTGGTATCAGTCGCTGAAAGGTATATAAAATTGATTTATTCAATAGTTGAATAATTATAACTATTATTAATAATAATTTCTATAATTTTCAGTTCAAAAAATGATGTTTCCCATATCTTTGTACAACGATTAAAACCATACATTTGTTATAAAAATGAAGTGTGCGATTTGTCAACCATCGATTCTTGGTACATTGAAGAATTCAAATACTGGGTCCAAAACAAAACCTATTTATGCCGCAACAACTATGATCAATTTCATAAAGACATATCACCAATTAGTGAAACATTGACGAAAAAATGGGGTCTTGAAGGCTATACACGACCTGGACCTATTGAAAATTTGCACTTAAAATGGAGAAACGATGGAATTTGTGCCGATGAATTGGAATATTTCCACAAGTCTCTTGAGTTGTTTGATAAGTATAACATGAATCAAATTTTGCGTGAAAATAACATTTTGCCCAATAATAATTACACTGCTCAAGCAATATCTGACGCTGTTTCAAAGGGTATAGGAAACAAAAAACCAAAAGTTGAATGTTTTGATAATGTAAGATAAAATAATGTTTCATTATTTTTAGCTCAAAATTCGCTTCGCATACTGAATTTCATTATTAATGATTTATTAATAAATTTTTACAGAATGGGGATATACAATTACAAAAGATTACACTTTACTTCAATAAATTTTTTGAACCGATAGATAGTGTTAGAAGTTTTGCGAACTGTGAGCCAGATGCAATTTTACTTTACCGTGACCACACAAAGAAGGAATATGAATATTCATCAAGTGCATTTCATTCACATATTTCTACTTGAAATAATACAGAAATCTCCTGTAAGTTAAAGTGACTAATCGATTATTATTTTGTTTATTACTAATAAATAACATTGATAATAATTTAATTTCAGGAATAAATGAGTCGATTAAATGCGCACCCGATTAATTATTACATCAGCGCTTCATCAATGGCATCTTACGAGTATGACTTTAAATTTGATTATTTATTTATTTAGATTGCATGTACGTTAAACTCGACAAAATATACTTTATAATTAAAATGTAAGCGCTTTTTACTTATTATTTTTTCGTTATTAGTCGAATTTAGACTTGATTTATTGTTATTACTCGCACAAGTAGATATTGACTATAAAAATAAAATACTCATAAATTTGTCCGAAGTAGATGGAAATAATTTGTATCTGGTGTTTGAAGGTCACAAAAATACGTAATTAGGAAGAGATCAAGCTATCTCGCTCATCTCATAGTGAATAAATCTAAATCGGGAAGTTATCCACAGATTCGGTCGAATCTGGCGCCAAGTTCCGTTCAAGTCCGTTGTCAACGGAGCGCCAGACTCCTTTGGTGTGCGTCATATTGTGTATTTCAATTTTTTTTAAGTCCTAGTAAATAGATTTTACGAATTTAGTTAAAAGTTGAAATACACAATATGACGCACACCAAGTACGTTCCAAAATTTTTTTTAATTTTTAAATTTGCAACAAAATTTTTTTTAATTTCCGAAAATCATAAACAATTATATCGGTTACTTGGATTTTTTAATTTTTTTATTTTATATCTTTTTGTAAAGAAAAAAACAATTTTTTTTTCTTAATAATCTTATGAACGTAGACTTGGCGCGATTTTTTTTACAGTGAAACTGTTTTTGTTCGGATTTTAGTATTTTTTGTAATTAAAATAAAAAATTACAATTGGTACCAACTTAAATCTCGCGTTGGCTGCATTTTTTATAACAAACTATCCCCTTGAAGCTACAGTTTATGTAAAAATAATTCCAGCGCACCCTGGCGGGTGTAGATGCAAGCTGTCAAATATCTTTTTTTAACTGTAGTTTCCCATCTAATGAAGGATTACTATACATTCTCGAATTATTTAGTCTGTGGCAGATCACTTTGCCCATCAAAAAAAAGTCAGGATCGAAATTTTTGCGTTGCTATAGTTTGTGCTGATTAAATTTAATAATTTCAAGTAGATTAATTGTTATAAGTGAATATAATTAATTGATAACAGTAAAATAAAGTATGAATTTCTGTTATATTATACAATTTAGGAAAAAAAAAGTACCGTAGAATTAAATAAAATTTTGCAACCTCAAAATACCGTTCTGCTTACAGTAAACACAGTCGGTAGTCTGGCGCTCCGTTTACAACGAATTTGAACGGAACTTGGCACCAGATTCTACCGAATCTGTGGATTTATTGTAGTTAGTCTCATATCGTTATTCGCAAAAATATGATAAAAAATACATTTTAGGACATTATTGCCTTTTAATAACGTGTTTTGTTTAATATTCAAACGAGAAATCTACCTATCCATGTCGGGTATGGCCGAATGGCGCTTTTTTTTTATCAGTGTAGATCATATCTATTCACCATAAATGAAGTTGGATTTTTATATTGCATAGAAACAACGAACTCTTATAAATAATAAAAATACTATGCTATGATTCAACACTACATAGCAAAAACTACCATTCCAAATACTAAAAACAGCTACGTAAGTATCAAAAAAGTTCAAATGACACACCGGAGACAAATTACTATTTGAAACAGTAAAAACTATATTAACAAGAATATGAGCACATTTCATAAATAATTTTTTTCTGGGTGGCATTTTATTATCCAAATATATTCATATTTTAGATGGATTTTTAATCATGAATTATTATCGAACGTATATCAAAGAATCTCTATTAAATAAACGTTATTGAAATATCAATTATTATAACATGTAACGACCCCTGAAACGATACAATCAAAATACGGGTTTTATCACAAGATGTTAATCAAAACGTTTGATGTTAAACGTTTTGAATAATTGTTAAAAATAATTGACTATATCTATATTTTCAAAATCATAAACTATTATAAATGTTGTTACCTACTTAGGATGAAAATGATTTTTCTCATTCCCGGGAAAAAATTTTTTTATGAAATTTAATGATTAAAATGGCTTGATAAAATTTTATGAGATTTAACAAAATTAGATGAAATTTTATAAAAATTATCTCTTGGTCGTAGGTAAAACTTTATGAACATTCATAAGAATAAATGCAATTTCATGGAAATATAGAAAATTTCATACCAACAATTCATACTAAATTCTTTCGAGTCTTAATAATAATTTTATAAAGTTTTATAAATTTCCATGAAATTTAAATAATTTTATAAATTGAACAAATATTCATAATATTTCATAAAGTTTAATTATATTTTAGTTTAGTAAAATTTTATAAACTTTGATGAAATTTCATGAAACTTCATTAAAAAATTTTCTCCAGGGTTTGAATATTTTAATATCCGTATTAAAAATCATGTTTTGATCGTAAGTTTCTCAATTATCATGTCCCAAAAATAAATCCGACAACAAATTCAGATCTTTTTTTTTTTAAATTAACTTTTACCGAGTAAACTTGGTTCAAAATATAACAAGTGAAATTATAGAAAAAATATCCACGCATGCGCGGTGATGCGTACTGTACAATAGTTCTTATAAATACGTTAAATATTATCTTGATATATATCAGACCAATTTTAGTACAGTCTCGAACAAAATTATCACCTAAACATTCAAATGTTTTTGAGTATTACTATTTCAAAACAATTTTCTTAATCAAGAACGAACCTCGACTAATAAAAATACATAAATTTGTATTTAATTATTATTTGGATGGACATATTTTTTCTAAACATTGTTATTGTTTCCTACTAAAATTTTTTTTTCTTTTCTCACTATATATTTGGTTTTTTTAAGCTAAAAAGTAAGCTATTAGGGTATTTTAATTATTTTTTTTCTTATTATTTTATTTTTGAATAAATTTCTGATTACAATCTTATATGTCTGAATTTAGTATTGTTATTGGAGAGTGCTAATATGATGAATTACCTTCATTTCTATTTATAACTTTTACTTCATCTATGTTATTTTTTAATGATTAGTAATTTACTTTTTATAGTACATTGAAACAAAACGTGAATTAAATTTTCATAATTAATTTTACATTTGCATATTTTAAAGTAACCTAACTTACCAAGTTTCATCGTCTAATTCAATGAGTACTCTTCCAGATAAAAAATGTCCAGGAAAATATAGAAGATTAGTATTGTCGAAGAGGATAATAAATTTATTTAATTTTCTCGTCATTTTGTTTTAACGCTTCACTTCACTTTATTCTTATCTGCAATAAATATTTACTTTTATTGGAGTAATCAACTAGGTATTTCGTTTTATAACCTGTTAATAATTACATGTCACTTACACATAATTTTAAGCACTTATAATCAACAAATAAAATGACTTTTGAAGTGTACGTTTCACTAGGTTTATTTTATGTAATATTTTTATAATCCATAATATTTTTAACTGCACTTATTATATTTTGTTATTTTTTATAATTATATTTGTTAAACAAGAGTATTATATCAATGAAATACATTTTATATTTAACTGAAGTACAAAATAATGTGATAAATAAAATTACATATTAACGAATGTACTCAGTATTTATATTACTTACGACATGCATGAAACTATGTAAACTATAGAGTTAAGGTTGTTCGTCTGGTTCTGTCCATTCTTGGTAGCGATGTCACTTTCGCTTCCTCCTACCGTCAGAGAACCTTCTCCATCAGAATATTAACTTAATCTGTAGAACATCGGTAGATTGGATTCTCTCAGTACAGAATAAACACATTCCTCAGTTTCAAATTCAAGTACATTTAATTCTTTACTTACAGTTGAGTCTCGTTAAGAGTCCTATTAGTGATTCCCTCATGTTAACGCGAGTCTGATTAAAAAAAAAAAGAAAATAAATAGGACTCACAACAAGACTCAACTGTACTTCCACAAAAAGATATATGTTTTGGAATAATTTATTCCATAACGCACTAACATTGTCTTCGCAATATATTACACGTGATATTGTGTTTACTTTATTTGTATCTTCATCGTTCCATTTCATTGGTTGTTTTAATTCTTGTTGTTGATAAATGTTGTGTAAAATATTGAACCGATCAATATATAGTTGCCCATTTTTCTTCACACCATTTTTCATTAAATTTAATGCAACTTTAAAAGTCGAATTTTCAGAACAATTTAAAAATTCATGAAAGCTCTTACTCTCTAATGTTCCATTAAAAATTAACTGAACTATACTGTCAAATGGACAAGTATTATAAGCTAAAAAAGCTACCCCATTGTGAATAACTGGTCCACTTAGATTTCCATTTATCAGTAAATATGATTCTGTTTGTTTGCCTTTTTTTTTTGTAGTATTTTTCTTCTCTTTTTTTCAACAGCAGCATCTAATACGTTTCTTTCAGAGATTTGGGTAGTTTTCGGAGTACTAGTTTTTAAGCTATAATCATGCTCGCTTTCAATAGATTTATTCAAATTTTCTACAACAGAATCGTTACTTAGTTCCATAGTTGAATTCTCGGCTTTCATATCTTGTGTAGGGTGATCTAAATTATTTGCATAGTTAATCCAGTCAAGGTTTTGATGTTTCATATCATTACCCAAGCCGCGCCAATTTTCAAAATCGATACTATCTTCAACCTCAGCATCATCTGTTCTTTCCTCAATCTTAGCATCATTTGAATTTTCAACCTTAACACCATCTGTTTTTTCCTCCGGCTTAGCATCATCACAATTTGAATCGTTAGATATAGTAGATTTGTCAATATTGTCATCGACAAATTTTGTGAGGTTGTTTTGAAATACAACTACTCCACCTAAAAGATTTTTCAAATGAGATTTGACTAAAATGTCGACTCGCGCAGGAAGACCGATTTCCCGATTGAGCATTTCTTTTGAATCTCTAAAGTCTTACTCAATATATGATGACGTAGCACGTAATTTATTTTTTGGAGTACATACTTGTGTCCACAGTGGAAAATCTTTGATAGTTTTTAGAAAGGACTCTTTGAATAATGGTACATAAAAGCAGTTTAAAACTTTACCAGTAGTTTGAACATTATTTGAAATAGCAACAAGATCTTTTATCCATGAACTAATGGTAGACATGTCACTATTTGGATCATCTTTTTCGTCATTCAAAATAGTACTTTTTTCAGCATCAAAGTCCATACTTTTCATATTTTCTTCAATTTCATGATATAAATTTTTACTGTTTTTATTACCAATTATATTTTCTAATTCTGTTCGAGCATTTAGAGGCGTAATATATTTTTGATTATAAAAAATTGTTGAATCATCAAATTCGGTAGAACAAACAATTAAAATTAATACAAACATTTTTTCTAAGTCTTTCAATGTCTTACACTGAATCAACAGTGCAATGCAATACAAATAAAAATTTTTCACATTCTTGTGATTTACCGACTTCCAACATTTCCAAGAGCTGGCAGTATGAATGAAATGGGCTGTGTCCAACCGAATATACGTATTCGGTTTCCATGAAGTATTATTTTTGGCTTTATTAAAACACGACTCGATATAATTGGGTAATGATTGATTATTAAACGCTAAAGCTATTGAGTTTAGTAATGCACGTGAACCATCACACACAACCTCGCCAGGAATCCTCTGAACAGTCGAAGAATCACAAGTCGTAACCATCTTCTTAACCAGAATGTAATTACATCTGTGTCATGACATTCCGACAACATTTGATATGTCGAAATAGTAGTATTATAGAAATTTATGACGATTTGATATAAGAAGATAGCACTTGTACGTTCACCACAATCAATAAATTTTCGGGCCATCCCACCAGTCGCGTCGATGCTAATTGATGATAAGTCTTTGTGTAATCGCTGATACTCACGATAACAATGGATTTGGGAAGGTGTTCCATAGAAAACCCAGAAAGGTGAAGCACTTACAACTTTGATCGAATTACGGTATATGGGGGTCTCATCTATACACATAAGAGCTTTTATCAAATCTCGTCTGTCTTCTGGCTTCACACCATACTCTTTCTCTGTTGATTCTTTTTTTAACTGGTATAAAACATTCACTAATCACTGGACATTGAGTGTCTCCAGGTTGAAGAAGCTTTCGGGATTCTTCATTAATACTTGCTTTTACTCCTTTATCTTTAACTTCTTTTCTCATTTCTTCTCTTTTTTTTCCTCTAAGTGGACGTCTAACATCGTCATGCTTCTCGAATCGTGTGTCTCGACAATTCATTTTTATGATAACATCACCATCAATACCCGGATCGTTTTCTATGTAACAAAATAAATTGTTTCCGCATTTCTTACTTTTGCATCGTCCTATCATAGTTGCATAATAATGTCCACATTGTTGAATAGTACCATTTTTAAAAACAAATGCACATTTTAATCGATACTGCTTCCATAATTCTAATGCCAGAGTATCAGTCCATACTTTAGGTTGAAGACCGGGATAGTTGCAATCGTTCTTTATAATAGGAGTAACTTTTTGAATCGAGTTCCATAGATGTCTGGAAAGTACTACATCAAAACACTCAAAATCCTTTTGCTCATTAATATACACATTACTATAATAATCTGGATCTTTTTTAACGTCGTCCTGGTCGCTATCGTCGATGTCATCATCGAGGTCATTATCATCATTATTTATGTCATTATTTTTTTTAGGTACATAATAACCACATCGTTCCCTTGCTTTCGTTAGAATCTCGCGTCGATTTTCTTTGATGTTTGTTCTTATACAAGAAACATTCTACTTATCTTTAAATTCAGGTTCATTTAACATCTTATCCCATACATCAGAAGACCATTCAGGTAATTGATCCGATGCAAAATAACTTATATATTTTATTAATACATTAATTGCATCGTCTATCGGTACTCTACACTTAGATGGCATTCTTACTTGAAAAATTAGTAATACCTAAAAAAAATCAATAATAACAGTTAGCCAATTAAATAATTACAAAAAATTCCATGAAAGCATCTTACTTAAATTTTTAATGTTTGATTCACAAAAATATCTATTTACTAAATATTAATTTTATATTTACGCGATAATTCTGATTTATTTTAATTTTCAATCATAAAATAAATGTTTTATAATTTTTTTTTATTTCTTGAAGTTTCTTTCGATATAATACTCATCACACAAATAGTCATTTGTTTGAACATAACAATGTTAATAATAATCATAATGATGATAATAATAATACAAATAGCTAAGTCAAAAATGTTTATAAGTTATATACACAAATACATAAACTACAATTACGATATTTTATTTTTACAGAAAAATAAATTGTAAAATAATTAAAAATCAGACGAAAAAATTTTTTTCTAACATAAATATTTTAATTAAAAATGTAAAACTGTCAGATTTTAATTAGTCATTGTTGCATATAAAAATAAAATTGAAAGATTATCTACTTTATCGACGGCTAGTAAGATAATTTATTTAGATTAAATAAATTTAAGAGAAGAATGTAAGCTTTTTGTCAATTATTAGATTATTACAAATATTATTGTATTACAAATTAATTTTATTGAAAATCTTATTTAGTTATGAATTTATCCACTTTTAATTATATGATATAACAGTATTACTTTATAGAACAAATTATTTTTCAATTTCAATGTCTCTAATCAAAAATGAAAAATGATTAATTATACTTACATTCAAGCAAAAAATATTGACTCAATATTTATTAAAAGTATTTAAAGAAATATATAGATACATCCAAATACGAAATATCTTGTGCTCCATGTTTAAAGATCTCAATATTTTTATTTACTGTAGTTTTCAAAATTAATTTTATTTGGAATTATTATTTTATAGAATCTGCAAAAATAAATAAATTAATAAAATATTTGATTTAAAAAACATCACTTGTTTAAGAATCGTTATAAATATTAAAATTAGAATATTTGTTCAATAAATCGACATTATACTTGAAATATAAAACATTGTCACAAACGAAAAGTGATTAAGCAGCTTATAAATTGTATCTTTATTTCACAGAAAAAAAAATGATAAATTTTTATTTAATGATAATAAAACATTTCAAACTTACACATCAATACTCATTTTAGATTTAATTCTGCTGTTTACTAATATAGTTGACCAGAAACATCCTAAAATAAAGAATCTTTAATATAGGTAATATTAAAATTTTTTTTTCATAGAAAAATGTATTTATATACAACTTGATATCGAAAATTTTTCCATACCTGCATGAAAATAAAAAGTACTGCTTCAAAAGTCTCCATTAATTACATAATTGAAACAAAATTATTCGAAACGACCTTTCCAAACATACCAATAATCCGTAGTTATTACTGCACTAAGTTTCAAGTAAAACCTGAATAAAATTCATGGTGTCAATATATGATCTATTAAATTCTTTTAAATTATAATTAATAAGTCAATATTTCAACAAAATAATATTTATTACCAATATTTATGCCGCGAAGCAGTTAC